ACACAAATGATTTGTTTATAAAAAAATATAAAGATTTAAATTGAATTTAAACAATCAATTTAAACCGTTTTTAAAATTGTTGCGTAATGCTTCGTAGTATGTTAAGCAGCACGTACTCAATCTATTATTGTATTTTTGATTCTCTCCAGATTTTTTTTTTTTTATTTTTTCATTTGTTATTTTAAGTGCCCCAAGAAGACCTAACGGTCTTGTCACAGAGCACCGCGGAACCAGAAAGTTTACGCCTCCTTTCTTACCGTTACGCGAAATATTTCAAAGCTCGTTTCGAACCTGGATCTCCTGCTTATAAAGCAAGCGCTCTAACCACTACGCCACGGCCGCACATACTACATTCGTTGTTCCACAATCCCAGGACTAAATTCACAATGAAATATAAATTGCATTTTAATGTTATTCTGCATTAAATGATCCTCTGCGAGTTTACATCATGACGACATTTGTTGTTGATATTACTGCAATCAAATGTATGTTTGCATCTTTTAAATTAGATACTTTAATTGTTGCTCTTTGTTCCAATTTGGCACGTCTTCGTTTGTTTGTTTTTTTTTTTAAATTAAAATTTGTTTCATCCAACCAAACTATCTGATGACCATTTGTGATTTGTTTGTTTCTAACATGTTTCTAACATCTTTAGCTTATTTTTGCATGTTTTCGCTAAAGTTTCTTGAAGAAATATTTTGTGCACTTTTTTTAATGAAAACAATCTGCCTTTGAGGTAATTGGCGATTGTTGTTGAGCTGACGCTAATATTAAATTGTCTTCATATTTTTGTTTTAATAAATTGTAATTATATTTTTGTTTTCATTCTTCAGACAATTTTTTTGGTTTAAAACCACATCTTCCGAAAAAATTTTAGTTTCCCCTGCAAATCCAATTGAAAGCTAACTTATATTTGATCCTTAGACTTTGCGCCGGAGCCACCCCATTGTCATTTCGCTTAACACATTCAGCAACTAATTTTATGTTATTCAGTGAATATAAAATGTTTTGTTCTGTTGTATGTATTTCATGTCGACAAATTAGACAAGTTGGTTCTTGTTGTTTCAGAAGCGTATGTAAGCAAATTTGGTGAAATAAATGCTGACACAATTTTTTAAAACCTTCTAGAGTCTAACTTAGTTCTAACTAAGATAAAATATGGGTTTTAGTAATTTGAGAATAAATGAGTTAATAAGCGCTTTTTATAGCATTCAAGTATTTAATTTCCAATTACTGCTTTCCATCGTAAATTCTTATAAATATTTTGTAAAGTTTTTTGCCCTTATATATTTTTTAACATCACAATATTTTGGACTTCTGTATTTATTCTGTAATTGCATTTTGTATCTTGGCAACAGCAAATTTGCATTTTTTTTAGGTATCAAAAAATTAATGAACAATTATTTAATATGGTTCATATTAAAAAAAATATTTACAAAAAATAAAGTAAAACAAAAAAAATAGTTTTAAATGGAAAGAATTATAATGTTATTATTTTTCTTCCGTAGCGATTGACGGTTGTCTACCAATAATTATCTTAAAAGATAATTTGAAAAAATTTTTTCTTTTTTTGTTTTTACTCACTGCTTTCTGCCTCCCAACTTGCGGCCGTCACAAAACTATCGGCAAAATTTTAGCCTGCTGCCGTCGAAAGAAATTAAAGCTATCAATATATATTTTTAAGTTAAAAAGCGTTTAATATTTAATTAGGTGCAAATGTTAATAATTTGACATCAAAGTTGCGTTTTATATTATTCACTACCGGATTTTGACAATTTAGAAAAAGTTACGGTTTTGTCACAAATGTTTTTCTTTTTTAAAAGTATCGTTTGTTTAAACGTATTTAGATTTTAAAATGTTTAAAAGAATTTAGTATTTAAGCAGTTTAAAGTTGAAAACAGTTAAAAGTATTGAGTCAGTACTTTTAAATGTTTTTGCCCTGTTTAAAAGTATTTTTAAAGAGGGAAATTGCCTAAGTGCAAGCAGCATAAATGCGAATCGACGTAAGTGCAAACGCCATAACTTTGTATCGACGTAAGTGTAAACACTATAACTGCGAATCGACCCACTATGAGTCCAAATGGCAAAAATGTGGCCAAAAGTCGATTTTCAAAAGTATTTCAAAATAATTATTATTTTGTTAATTTAGAACATCTAAATTTTTACCACATTATTATGAATGTATTGAGTACACAAATATGAAATTTCTAGCTGCTCCAACTTGCTCCATTTCGATTTATGGTCGATTATTTCAGAAGGACGCTAGATAAACCAGGGGGCGGGAGGAGAATCTTATAAACAAAAACAAAACTAACTACAATAACAAAAATTTTTAGCATTATTATAATATCTTGTGACTTACAAAAATTAAAGAAAATATTGCGTTAACTGACGTAGGAACAGGGAAGGCGGATGTGCTGCCTCAGCCCTTAATTTCCGCCCCCCCCCACACTTTTTGGATATTCCTAAGCCACTATATATATATATGGTCTAAAAAAAATGGTCTAAAAAAAAAAAAAAAAAAGGTCCGCATCTTTTCATTTATAAGTGACTTTCTTTTCTAACTTTTTGTACGTTAGTGTAATAATTAAGTTCATATATGTATATTTACCTCTAATAGTCAATTTTATTCGTCAGTATAATAGTCCAATTCTATATAATAGTCAATTTACAAAAGAGAAATTTCTGAAAATAAGACCCAAGGAGTGAGGGGCTACTACCCCATGGTCCCCCCCCCCCTAAAACCTGCCACTGTATATATTATTTATATATATAAATATTAAAACTATATATTTATATATATACTAAAACTATATATATATATATATATATATATATATATATATATATATATATATATATATATAAATAAATATATATAAATATATATATATATATATATATATATATATATATATATATATATATATATATGTATATATATATATATATCGCTGTATTTCCTGTGTTTGAGGAACCATAGCCATGTTTTGGCATATCAACAACAAGACTAAGCTCACTTCTAAAACAATTCTGAATTTCAATTTTTTGCTCAATAACAGAAAGCTTATGTTCTTTTGATCTTGCTTGATACTTTTTAATTTTCATTTTATAGCCTAAGTGAAACACATACTCAAAAAGTCTAATCTAAAAATGTAAAGTAGATATTCCCATAGTAAAACATTTTTCATCAGGAATAAACATCCTGATGTTTACTAAAGTTGTTCATTTCACTTGGTTTTGCAAAACAAACATTGCACGATTACCATGATTTCAAAACCATGATAACATTTACAGACTTGCCATCAACCATAGTTAAGTCAACAACAATTTTTATTTCTATCAAACAGTGCTTTTTATTACAGAGATCTAAATTTAAAATATAGTCTTGTAGATTTTCAATTTGTTTCCTAAGCTTAATTTCTTCTTCTGCAATAAGTTCATTTGTTTCTTTTTGGTATTTTAATTGAAGAGGTCTACAAAAATGAGGACTGGATGGCTTTAGATTATTCCAGATGTTTGAATCCCTAATTCTTAATTTTAAAGGAACTATTGCAGTTTGAAACATAGACTGTTCATTCTGCACTCCAGTAGAAAGATCAGTATAGTCAAATCTTTGATTATAAATACTCTGCAAAGATGACCCGTCCATACTACATTTCAAATTAAATACCCCATGGGTTACAGTTTCATCTAAATTCTGAAGCAGCTCATAATTTAGTTTTAAAATTCAAGACAAAGTATGGTTAATCATGTTCTGTAAACTACAATTTACAGACGTTTCTGTAATAAGCAAATCCTCTGGATAACAATCTGCTTTTGACTTAAGGATTGTTTTTAATGGAGGATAAATGTTGACATTTTGCACTAGAGATGAGTTTCTAATTATCTGATATTGTAAATCACTCAAATCACAATGAATTTTAAGCCATAAAGTTTGATCTGCAGACATCATAATTGGTTGATGTTTATCACTTTGGTTTGTTTCATTTTTATTTTCAGAAAGTAGCTTAATTTTCTTTCCCAAATTAGATTTTCCATTACTAGATTTTGCACGTAAAATAGCAGCTTTTGCACGTAAAACCTCAGCTTTTAAAATGGCTTGCAAGTTCGCATTATTTGTACCAACTTCTTCAATTATGTTTATAAGTTCTTATCTTTTCATTTTTAATTAATAATAACAAAAAT